AAGACAGACATGCTTTCTGCCCTTCTGTAAGTTCCATTCGGTGAGCTTAGCTGTGCCGTTACCCACAGAGACTCACTCATATGCACACGGATATTTTGTTACACAAGGACTACAGGAGGCTGCAGCTTTGGAGCAGGTTCCCTTACTGGACCTCCAAAGCATCTGAAAATCACACCAAGCTTCACATCACCAAACCAAACCCCAGTCACCTGACAAAGCTTCTGAGGGATACAGGAGCTATGCAAGACAGTAGCTAAATTCCCAAGCAGCTTAGGGTCAGTTGGCACAATACTGACGTTTTCTGCCTTAATCCTTCCCGAAAGGTCACCCTATATTGATCAACCCTTTGTTTCCTGTTCTGTCTCCTGGTCTTATAACCAGGGAAGTCCTGGAGCTGGCCGAGCTGCTCGTTTGTCTCGGCTTTCCTTTCATCAGCCTTTGTCTGGGACACCAACCTCTCCGCTGCACCCAGAACATTACACTACCTAATGAGACACAGCACTGACCGTTGAAGCCCACACATAAGACAATTAAAATATCCACCTCATTCAGCTGTTTTAAATGATGCCCGAATGTATGTGTGCCTGTAGACTGTGCACGTTTGTGTCCAAACACATGTACCTGGAGTCGCATAGGCAAGCCTGGCTTAGGTGTAGGTGGACGTCATGAGTAAGTTATGGAATAAAAGATGACACAAGTTCTGGAGGAGTGGTAGAGGCTTGCTCTCCAGCCAGGGTAGTAGATAAGGTTTCTTGGTGTAAAGAAGATAACCACATGAAAGTCACTATGCAGGAGTTTCTAGAACCTGGGTCTGAGCCGTACACACAGCGTGCCCAGCGAGAATGTGCACCCAAACACTGGTGCACACTCATAGCTCTCACTGGAGGCTGGTCTCTGAACTCAGCTGTGGGTCACTGCCTCCTCGAGACCACACTGATAGAGCAGGTCCTTACCGGGTGCTCTGGCCTGAGATCATTTCCCCGAGGAGACAACTCTGTCTCCTTCATTGATGTGTACGGGGCTAGGGACACCTCACACCCAGCTGAACCGTGACTGTCCACTCCCAGTGCCTGGCTCCTAGGTCCTCCTTTCGCTTCCTGAGGGCAGTGGGAGATTGCATCACAGGCATCACATTGCTGACTCGTGGGAGGCAGAAAGAGACATTCAGGTTAGAGGAGTCCGACTCTGTCAGGTCCAAAGGAAACTCCACTCCCCCAGATTCTGGCAGTTAGACAAATGCTGGCATTTCTGAGGAGCTTGTGAGGCTTGTCTAATAAAGGAGTCAGTTCTCTTACCACTGGCAGAGGGACAAATGGTTATCTGTGGTGCCTATTAGCATATCATAGTATACCAAAGTGCACACTGGCTCCCTCACAATTGCGACTTCCTGGCTCTTCTCACCCGTCCCCAGCTGCTCATTCTCCTTATGACCTGTTACTTGGGGCATCCTCTCACTTGCCCCACTCTTGGTTGTCTCTTTCTCTTCCTCTCTTGCTCTCCCCCTCTCTCTTCCATCATGGCCCAGTCCAGTCTACTGCTTTCTCTCTCTGCTCTGGATTCTTCCAGATGCCTTTGGCTGTTCTCTCCCTCACGTCTACAATAAAAAACCTTCTGCTTACCCACGCCTTGGAGCAGTCATGTCCTCAGGTTATACTGGGGTACCAAATCAGGTACTGCAGCCCCAGGGTCTCCTCCCTACACCCTGTGGATCCTGAGGGTGCACATATTCAAGTTGGTCCTATGGGCAGGTGTGGGTGCTAGTCCTGTGGCCATCCATTCCTCTCCAGAGCCCCAGCAGCCCTTCCCATGGAAACTTTTTGGTACAGGATCCCCAAAGAACACATGTCCATTAAAAGCATTAAAGGAGGGGCTGGAAAGACAGCTCAGAGGTTAAGAGCACTGACTACTTTTCCAGAGGTCCTGAGTTCAATTCCCAGCAGCCATATGGTGGCTCACAACCATCTATAATGAGGTTTGGTGCCCTCTTCTGGCGCGTAGGTATATATGCCAGAAGACTATATACATAAAAAATATATACATAAATTTTTTTTTAAAAAAAAATGTTCACTCTTGGGCTGCAGATATGGCTCCACAGACAAACATGAGTACTAACTACTCTCACAGAGGACCTGAGTTTGGTTTCCCAGCACCCAAGTGCTGTGGCTCACAACTGCCTTTAACTCTAGCTCCATGGGATCAGACGTATTCTAACCTCCTCGGGCGCCCACATCACACACACATACTCCCACCTAGACACACACATATAATTAAAATTTTTTAAATCTCAAAAAAAAGGGCTTTAAATCTTAAAAAAAAAAGTTTGTAGGAATAAGTTCTCTCCTTCCTCCATGTGGGTCCTAGGGATAGAATACAGATCATCAGGCTTTGTAAGCAAGCACCTTTACCTGCTGAACCATCTTGCTGGCCCTAAAATCCATCTTCAATGCACCGCTCAGTGATAATCGCTATTGGGACGTGGATCTGTATTCTTCCCTCTTCCCCCAAAGTCTACGGGAATTGATTGGTGTTTTTTAAACCTAGACTTTAAACATTCACACCATGCTTGAGTGTGCATATGTCTATTATGTATGCTGTTAAAATGTTTTAAAATCATTAAATATTTTCAAAGTCATGATGCTGTTTTGGTGATTGTAAAATGTTCTGTAATTCACTCAGCAAGTATCTCATTGTGACCGTCACTATTTCTTCATTCCTTTTGTCATATTGAGCTTCCCTCTGATAATTACATTAACCCTTTTGTGCATCCATTGTTATTAAAAGCATCTTTTTGCAGAAAAAAAAAAGGGGGCTGGAGAGATGGCTCAGAGGTTAAGAGCACTGGCTGCTCTTCCAGAGGTCTTGAGTTCAATTCCCAGCAACCACATGGTGGCTCACAACCATCCGTAATGAGATCTGGTGCCCTCTTTTGGCCTGCAGGGATACATGCAGATAAAATACTGTATACATAATAAATAAATAAATATTAGAAAAAAATGATGGCCGGGTGTTGGTGGCACACGCCCTTAATTTCAGCACTCGGGAGGCAGAGGCAGGTGGATCTCTGTGAGTTCCAGACCACCCTGGTCTTCAAGAGCTAGTTCTAGGACCGTCTCCAAAGCCACAAAGAAACCCTGTCTCGAAAAAAAAAAAAAAAAATGTTCACTCAACATAACTTCAATTTCTAAAGTGACTAATGACATATGATTTGGAAAGTGTGACAAAAATCCAATATAGTCACAATGGCATACACCACACATCTGTGTGAAGCTATCTAATGTTCCTAGAGAACTGGGTGTGATTCTGTTTGTACAAGGAACTTGTGTTTCCCTGTTTAATCCTCACAGTGACCTCTAATTATGCCGACCCCGGAGTTATTGAGACTCACCTGAGATAATATCTTCAATTTTCTACTTGGCAAAGGTGTGCAAATCATAAAGAAAGCATTCTTAGTTAACTTCTGGAAGGAACATTGCACTTCTTACAGGGAGGGCTTCAAGAGGGCACATTCTGGGTGACTCTGATAGGATCTCATGGATGCCCAGGCTTTGGGCAGATCATCCCCTGGCAGCCTGTTCTAGTGCAGCCAGTATCCTAGAGAGGATGCTTACAGTGCTGGTGTGCTAATATGATCCTTATCATTCCTGTTTTCGACAAAGGAGCCTTACGGAATACAGGCCGATCCAGGGAAAAGGCCAAAGCAGCAATAATGGAAAAGCAACTCAGCCCACAGCTAGTGTGACAGCAAGGGACAACTGCAGCATACTGATGTGTGTGACCCACGGCCTGGCATTTGTGCTTAGGCAGGAAAATCAGCTGCTAATGGTGTTCTTCCCAGAGGACATGGCTGCCAACACAGGCAGGATCCTGAGCACAGTCCCTCTTCTGGGCTCCTTCTTTACCTGCTGAACAAAAGGCTTCCAAGGGGTTCTAAGTCCTGTGAGGCATCCAGGAAGGCTCAGCTCAAAAGAAGTGAGTATGCAATCAACACAATTAACACCTTCACAGGATAGTCATTGTAGAGGGCTGTCATCTTCTGATCTGGCTCACAGGTCCCTAGTGAGATGGGGGAGGGGCGGTCTTGGTCTGCAGCTTCCCTTCCCTTCTTGGGGGAATCCCAAACCCTGGGAGGCCAGCAGGAGGCCCATTCACCCTTCCTTCAATCCTATCTCGGGAAGAGAGTGGAGCTCAAGATGACTAAACATACAAAGCCCTAAAATAGCTTTTGGGAGGTCAATATTCATTCTCTGTGCCCTTTTCATGGACAAAGGCAGCCTTCCTCCTGCCTTTGTGACTTCTAGGCAATGCTGTCTGGCTCCTGGAGCCTGAATGTGGCCTTGGGCAGAGCCAGACACACTGGGAGAGAAGTGCTTCCTTCCCATGGATGGGGTTAGGAGTCAGGTCCTCCACTCTAGCCTCTGGATGGATCAACCCTGGAGAAGTCCCACCAAGATACTATGCTAGATGGACACAGGTCCAATCAATTCCTCTTTTTCACGGAATAAAAAGAGGCCAGCTGATGCCTGCTCCCCATTAGCTACTGTCACGGGCTCCAAGAGTAGGGGTGGAGGGTTCTCCTCTCATGTCCACATCCCTCCAGCACAGTGTCACACCTGGCTCCATGGCACACACACTGTACCTACACTACCTAGTAGCCTAACGGTGAATATGAGAGATACTGCTAATGAATTATTCACAATAAGAGGACATAGGTCAGATCTGGGGCTGTACCTCTGTTGGTCAAGTGTTTATCTGACATACCAGAAGGTGAGGCAAGAGATCTTAAATTCAAGTTTACCCCTTGGCTAGGTAAGGAGTTCAATGCCAGCCTGGGCTGTATAGAAAGAAAGACAGAAAGGTGAGTGGGTGGGGGAGTAAGAAGCAGAGGGCAGGAGAGAGAAATGTGTGTGGGGGGGGGAATGAAGACAAGACAAAGGATAGGTGGCTGACCCTCGACATCCTACAGATCTATACTTGTTCAGGGAATTTCTCAAATACACATGGTCTGTGTTGGCAATTTATTTAAAAAACAACAACACTCCAGCCATCACATTTTCTTCTCTGTTCATCATTTCCCTTATAGAAGAAGTTACAAAAACATCAGGGGGTTTTGCCATCTTTACAACCCAACCCACAAGAGTCAGGAATGACTCCTGAACCAGGCAGAGAATAAAAGACAATATAAGAACAAATTTGGGTTACAGCAACACCGGATTACAATGCCAATTTACAGGGCAGTGGTTACAAGGAAGTTCACCATAGGGGATTCTGAGCCAAAGGCCAAGTAAAACCACTGCCTGCTTGCAAGGCTGGAGGCCCAGTGCAAGCACCCACAGCACAGGACATGACTCGGTAAGGCTTTTCTGGCAGCGAATGTGATGAAGAGGGCACTCTGCTCAGCGAGGACCTGGAGCCCTCACTTTGAGTCTTGGTTCTTCTCATCTATCAGGGCAGAGCGGATTCCCAGCTTTTTCAGTTCCTCCACCAGGTCCCCATTCTGGTGCATCTGCAGAAGGATGTCACAGCCCCCCACAAACTCGCCATTGAGGTACACTTGCGGGATGGTAGGCCAGTTGGAATAGTCTTTAATACCTGTGGAGAGATGGGAGATGCATCACTGAAACAATCAGGAGGGAGTGAACCTTCCACCCACCCAGGCTCTCCCAGGTGTCCCCACCCCCCAACGCCCCA